ATTTTCTACTCCACTTCTACTTGTTTATTATAACTTTACTTTAAAACTAACCTCTAACCCTAACCCCTATCCCTAAAAAATGCACCCCGAAAAAATTTATTTTTCGAGATTTTATATTATAATTTCATTTTGATCTGGATTTCATTATGATCCGCCACAATCATTACGTACGTGACAACACACGAAATTGCAACTCACAAATTTACAAAATCATAGCTCATAAAAATGTCTCAAGCTAATACTAAATATTTGGAAATTCGAAAACGGGCTTTAAGGGATTTCGAAAAAGCTCTTGAATTCTCATTAAAAAAATTTAATGATATTCAAAAGAAAGATAAACACATAGCTATGGCTATGAATCAATTGCGATCTTCTTTTGAGAGAACAATTAATAGCTTAAATGATCACTTTAGTGATTATGAAAGTCCACTCAATGTCATACGTGCTGATGTTGAATATGTTGAATCCGTGTCAGTGGAAAATGAAGTTGGTTCATCACGATCTAGTGAAACATTAGCTATGCTAAATGAATCATTAGCCATATCAAATAATGTTGAAGTTGGTACATCATCTGGATCTAGTAAAGCAGAGCAAAATAATAAAACCAAAGGCAAAGGAAAGAAAAGACAAGGCCTGCTAAATGAAACACGTCCCAATAAAAACAGAAATTTAAACAGGGTAACTATGAAAAAATTCTATCGTATTGGCTTATATTATATAAATTAGCTCATCACTTCAATCTAATTGGCCATTAGCTGTCACTGAGGTTAGCTCGTCATTGATGCAAACAATTCCAGCAAGCTGCTTGTGAAAACGGTAACTATCAAAAGATATGGGAATAATAAAAACAAATATAACTTAACAACATTTTTTTAATAAATTTGCAAATTTGTAAAATTTATTTCAAAAAGTTTTTTTTTTTATATTAAATCCGTCATGTCATAGGATATTAGGAAGCGTATATTTATTCGATCAAATTTTAATTTATTTAATTTATTTTAATATTTAAAGCAACCAAAAATATGAGAGAAGACCTGCCAAAGATCCCTATAATCTATGATCTGTTATTTGGAAGGATTGCGACAGGCTATCATTCTAATAATGAATCATGGGAAATTTTAGAATATTTAGAAGATATAGTGTTCGCATCTTGTCTCCTAAAAATTGCCGGGCCGCGATACCTCCAAAGATATGAGCCAAAGCATATTGAAATGGGTGTGAAGAGTATTGCTACCAATAAAAGTTTGGCAGCATATTCTCTTGTGCTTGGGCTTCACAAACTGAATCAAATGAAATTTTTAGCAGTAAACAAGCGCATTGCTGATGCATTTGAAGCCTATTTTGGAGCTTATTATCTTGTATACGGGGAATTACTTACTTGTATATATCTAGATAGCCTAATGACCCCGCTACTAGACCTTATACTTGAAGGTACCAAATCTAGTAAATTTGATATAAAATATTTATACGAAATTGCTTCGCAATACTTTTCAATGATGGATTTACGATTGCAAAATTAATAAATAAATATTGTATAAAGTAGATCCAATGGTTTTGAATAGCTTGTATGAATTGAAATATATTAATTTCAGCAGAATGGCATCATTATCTGATCAAAATTTAGATTATATATGTAATTATTGCATCTTAAGTCTGAAGAAGAAAAGAGCTCCAAGTGAAAAATATAAATTCTAAAAATTGACTTTTAATTGAGTAGCAAATTTTTATATTTCTATCAGGCTTACAATAAAATCATGATAGAACCTTGCACTCTGTATTCGTGTATTTGCATTGCGATCATAGAAATTTATTCGTATAGTTGAAAAACCATACACTGTTAGCCTGAGCCATGTAAAATAGTAATTAAGTTGGTTTTATGTAGGATGCGGGGTAAGGATGACTCCGAAAGTAGATACTCTCGATGCCGATCAAAATCGAAGTCTACCGAAAGTATTTTCGGGTGGGATTTTGGCTTGCTGAAATGTCCGAAATCGAAAGTTTCACTGAAAGTCGTAAGTCGAAAGTCTTACCGAAGGTCAATTTTATTTTACCGGTGAAAATTACCTGGCATGAGATGGCATGCACTTATTTGCGCGAATAATACAAACCCTAAAAGGAGATGAATTCCGAACACGTGCGAAAGAAAAAAAAACGAAATACTCAAAAACTAGTGTTTAAATCGACCTTGGCGCACTAATTAAAAATGTTGGAACGAAATTTTGAAACAATTTATTGCTATAGCCTATAATGTTAACGCCCTAGCCCTAAACTTCTATCTTTACGCACTTAGTTTATTTACAAAATTCGATTTCCTTTTTGGTTACTCGCGCAAATAAATAAAATCTCATCTATATGCATGTAACGTAATCCATATATGTACCGATTATACCGAAATCAATAACTTAGATGCTTGACCGAAAAATCATTCGACCAATTCTTATAACATGAAACACGAGTATGGTCGTCAGAAAGCTTCGGAACATTAGTAGTTTAAACAAATTTTTAGCGCAGAAGAGTAGGACTTTTATTTCTCGCAAAAAATAAATTTAATCACCGCAACCAAAATTCAGCAGATCGACCAAAATTTAAGGTCGGGATAGGTCCGGAGCTAGGCTGGCATTGACCAATAATGCAAATCAACTATACTATATCAAAATTATCATCTGGGCAGCTTTATTTAGTACGTGGGTGCTACAAAATTTTGGGTAATTTTGGAAGAAATTCATCAATTCCGGCATATTACGACTCTAAATTTTGGTTGCTGAATTTGGTTGCTGAATTTGGTTGCTCCACTAATCTATCCACATCGGCCCTGCATGAAATCACGTGAAATGGGCTTCAACAAAGGCCAATCAGATTTTGGTACATACGTGACAGCCGCACTTTAAAGTCGACCAACGGAATTGAGGTAATTTTGTTTAATCGGAATTATTGTTTTATTATGCCAATCTAACTTGCAATTCCAATGATAGTAATCATCAAAATCAGCTTAATGTATAGCAAAATATAAGTAAAGAAAGTTTCGTGATTCTTTGAAGTTTCTTAGGAAATTTTTTAAGAATCGCGAAACTTTTTTTTACTCAACTCGTGAAATTTTCTCCTCTACAACCTCTACTAAATCCAAGATGACATATTAGTTCCGATTGAAAAAACTACATGCCTTTTTTTTTTTTTTTAGAATCTTATCTGCAATTCCATTAGGTGCGCGGTCACATAACTTTTAAAATCGTCATATGGGGTCTTTACCTTAAAAATCAAATATTGGACATATGATTTACTATGTTCCGTAACTTGATTTCCAAGGCAAAGACCCATATCTCAAAAAGTAATAAAATTTTGAGATACATTTAGATGTATAAAAAAAGTAAGTTTTGCGAATCCTTAGTGATTATGCAAGGTAATACAAATTGATACTTTAAGAGTAGGGTTACTCTGTGATTATTTTTCGCTGTGCGGAAAAATTTTGCGCACAGAAAAAATTATCATTTTTAAGTAGTGCGCACACTTGTAAATAATTTTCCTTATTTGCTGCATAGAAAATTTTCCAAATTGTGCGGTTTCCGTACAGTAAATTTTAACTGAAAAATTACACTGGGGTTACTTTTTGAGCAATTAGTGTTATTTAGATATAGGTACCAGGAACTGCCGCTTTATTAAACCACATATCTAAATTCGTGTAATAACGCGTCTGTGTACATGACACAAGTATGATACAGCCAATCATATAATCAAAAAACAAGCGAATGGTTTAGTTTCTAGCACATAATAATTATCATTTTTACTTTATTAAACTTTCTCACATACTTTTGTAACCTAAGTGTTTAAGTCAAGCGATTCAAGTTTATGAATCTTTACTTATTAATTTTATTTTTCTTATATTAATAAATTAAGTGATGATTATAAAGAACATTTATCAATGAAGGGTTTCAGAATTAAAAAAAAATAGCGTAATTCGAAAATAAGTAGGAGCTTAAAAAATCTTATTTGTATATCAAAACTTTGAAATCAGAAAATGAAATGGGAGTGTTTAGAGACTCCCATTTAACGAAATAAATAAACTTTTCAATGACAAAAATCATTATTACAAATTTGTCGGAAAATGAAATAAAATCGATACATCGTTCATTTGAAAATAAATACGTTATCTATTTCTATCAAAATTAGATTTCCGCACATTAATTCTGAAACCCCTCAATAAATTAATTTAGTGATCTCTTATCTTAAACTAAATAAGTAACAAAAAAATAGTGTAATTTATTCTGAAATATGCGCATATTAATAAAATTATTTACGTGCTTATCCTAGGAATTAACAAATGATCCAGCAACATGTTAATGTTTTATGTATTTAAAAAAGATTTTCAATGTAACAGTAAACAAAGAGTAAACAACAGCGACGCACGCCTAGTGTTCCGATCCGAGTAGCTATCACCCGGGTTGCAACCCATATCCAAATAAAAAATTTTTTTACATTATTGTTATATCATCGTTATATATAATGATTTAAAGCAAACAATAAATATTAATTGCTATCACTAAATGCAGTCTACCTTCATTATAAAGAATTCCGTTATAGAAGGACCTTCACTATAACGAAGAAATATTAGAAATAATTACATTTTTATTAATATACTCTATAACGTTATAGAATATTTCATTATAATGGATTTA